CCAAAGTGGACCTCAAGGGCCCCCAGGTGGACCTGAAGGGCGCCAAGGTGGACGTGAAGGGCCCGAAGGCCGAGGTGACGGCACCTGAGATGGAGCTTTCCCTGCCAGGCACGGAAGTGGAAATCCAGGTCCCCGGTGCCAAACTGAAAGGGGACCCGGCGCTGGCCGAGAATGACGCCTTGGCAGCCAAAGACAGCAAGTTTAAGATGCCCAAGTTCAAGATGCCCTCCTTCGGCGTGTCGGTGCCCGGGAAGACCATCGAAGCCTCGCTTGATGTCTCGGCACCAAAGCCGGGGTTGGACGTGGCCCTGCCCTCCATCCAGGGTGACCTGAAGACCCCTGACATCAGCATTCAGCTGACCTCTGCCGACCTGGATGTGGGCGTCAAGCTGCCGGAGGGCCAACTGCCCGAGGGTGAGCTACTGGATCCCGCTGCCGCAGGACCCAGCCTGAAGGGGCACCTGCCCAAGGTGCAGATGCCCAGCCTCAAGGTGGCCAAAGTGGACCTCAAGGGCCCCCAGGAGGACCTGAAGGGCGCCAAGGTGGACCTGAAGGGCCCCAAGGCTGAGGTGACTGCGCCTAAGATGGAGCTGTCCGTGCCCGGCGCGGAGGTTGAAATCCAGGCCCCCAGTGCCAGACTGGAAGGGGACCTGTCGCTGGCCGACAATGATGCGTTGTCCACCAAAGACAGCAAGTTCAAGATGCCCAAGTTCAAGATGCCCTCCTTCGGCGTGTCGGCGCCGGGGAAGACCATCGAAGCCTCGCTGGAAGTCTCGGCACCGAAGCCGGGGGTGGACGTGGCACTGCCCTCCATCCAGGGCGACCTGAAGACCCCTGACGTCAGCATTCAGCTGCCCTCTGCTGACCTGGAGTTGGGCGTCAAGCTGCCAGAGGGCCAGCTGCCCGCACCTGCGCCCATGGAAGCCAGCCTGCAGGATCACCTACCCATGGTGCAGATGCCAAGCCTAAAGATGCCCAAAGTGGACCTCAAGGGTCTCCAAGTGGACCTGAAGGGTCCCAAAGCCGAGGTGACTGTGCCCGAGGTGGAGATGTCTCTGCCCGGAGTGGAGGAGGATATCCAGGCTCCCGGTGCCAAGCTGGAGGTGGACCTGGTCCTGGTCGACAGGGACGCCGTGGCCGCCAAAGACAGCAGGTTCAAGATGCCCAAGTTCAAGATGCCCTCCTTTGGCATGTCGGCGCCCAGGAAGACCATCGAAGCCTCGCTGGCGGTCTCGGCAACAAAGCCAGAGGTGGATGTGGCCCTGCCCTCCATCCAGGGTGACGTGAAGACCCCTGACATCAGCGTTCAGTTGCCCTCCACCGAGCTGGAGGGCAAGGCCAGCCAGGTGGACGTCAGGCTGCCGGAGGGAGAGCTGCCCGCACCCGATGCGGCGGGACCCGGCCTGAAGGGGCACTTGCCCAAGGTGCAGATGCCCAGCCTCAAGATGCCCAAAGTGGACCTCAAGGGCCCCCAGGTGGACCTGAAGGGCGCCAAGGTGGATGTGAAGGGCCCCAAGGCCGAGGTGACCACGCCCGAGATGGAGCTGTCCCTGCCCGGTGTGGAGGTGAAAATCCCCGCCCCGCCCAAGGTGCTGAAGCCCAGCCTAAAGATGCCCAAAGTGGACCTCAAGGGCCCCCAGGTGGACCTGAAGGGCGCCAAGGTGGACGTGAAGGGCCCCAAGGCCGAGGTGACCGCGCCCGAGATGGAGCTGTCCCTGCCCGGTGTGGAGGTGAAAATCCCTGCCCCCGGTGCCAAGCTGGAAGGGGACCTGGCGCTGGCCGACAACGACGCCTTGGCCACCAAAGATAGCAAGTTCAAGATGCCCAAGTTCAAGATGCCTTCATTCAGCATGCCGGCGCCCGGGAAGGCCACTGAGGCCTCGTTGGAGGTGACGGCACCAAAGCCGGATTCGGATGTGGACGTTCCCTCCATCCAGAGCGACCTGAAGACCCCTGACTTCAGCATTCAGCTGACCTCCGCCGACCTGGAGGGCAAGGCCGGCCAAGTGGGCATCAAACTGCCAGAGGGCCAGCTGCCCGAGGGTGAGCTACCAGCTCCCACTGCCACTGGACCCGTCCTGAAGGGGCACCTGCCGAAGTTGCAGATGCCCAGCGTCAGGATGCCCAAAGTGGACCTCAAGGGCCCCCGTGAGGACCTGAAGGGCGCCAAGGTGGACCTGAAAGGCCCCAAGGCCAAGGTGACCATGACAGAGCTCGAGGTGACCGTGCCCAGCGTGGAGGTGGATATCCAGGGCCCCGGTGCAAAGCTGGTGCGGGACCAGGCCTTGGCCGAGAAGGACACTGTGGCCGTCAAAGACAGCAAGTTCAAGATGCCCAAGTTCAAGATGCCCTCCTTCGGCGTGTCGGTGCCCGGGAAGACCATCGAAGCCTCGCTTGATGTCTCGGCACCAAAGCCGGGGTTGGACGTGGCCCTGCCCTCCATCCAGGGTGACCTGAAGACCCCTGACGTCAGCATTCAGCTGCCTTCCGCCAACCTGGAGGTGGGCATCAAGCTGCCAGAGGGCCAGCTGCCCAAGGGAGAGCTGCCCGCACCCGCGGCCATGGAAGCCGGCCTGAAGGATCACCTACCCAAGGTGCTGAAGCCCAGCCTAAAGATGCCCAAAGTGGACCTCAAGGGCCCCCAAGTGGCCCTGAAGGGCGCCAAGGTGGACGTGAAGGGCCCCAAGGCCGAGGTGACCACGCCCAAGATGGAGCTGACCCTGCCCGGTGCAGAAGTGGAAATCCAGGCCCCTGGTGCCAAGCTGGAAGGGGACCCAGCGCTGGCTGACAACGACAACTTGGCCACCAAAGACAGCAAGTTCAAGATGCCCAAGTTTAAGATGCCCTCCTTTGGCGTGTCGGCGCCCGTGAAGACCATCGAGGCCTCACTGGAGGTCTCGGCAACGAAGCCAGGGGCGGATGTGGCCCTGCCCTCCATCCAGGGTGACCTGAAGACCCCTGACGTCAGCATTCAGCTGCCCTCCGCCAACCTGGAGGTGGGCATCAAGCTGCCAGAGGGCCAGCTGCCCAAGGGAGAGCTGCCCGCACCCGCGGCCATGGAAGCCGGCCTGAAGGATCACCTACCCAAGGTGCAGATGCCCAGCCTAAAGATGCCCAAAGTGGACCTCAAGGGCCCCCAAGTGGACCTGAATGGGCCCAAATCCGAGGTGACTGCGCCCGAGGTGGAGATGTCTCTGCCTGGAGTGGAGGTAGCCATCCAGGCCCCTGGTGCCAAGCTGGAGGCGGACCTGGCCCTTGCCGAGAAGGACACCGTGGGTGCCAAAGACAGCAAGTTCAAGATGCCCAAGTTCAAGATGCCCTCCTTCGGCATGTCAGCGCCCAGGAAGGCCATCGAAGCCTCGCTGGCGGTCTCGGCACCAAAGCCGGAGGTGGACGTGGCCCATCCCTCCATCCAGGGTGACGTAAAGACCCCTGACATCAGCGTTCAGTTGCCCTCCACCGAGGTCGAGGGCAAGGCCGGCCAGGTGGACGTCAGGCTGCCGGAGGGCCAGCTGCCCGAGGGAGAGCTGCCTGCACCCGATTCCACAAGAGCTGTCCTGAAGGGGCACCTGCCCAAGGTTCAGATGCCCAGCCTCAAGATGCCCAAAGTGGACCTCAAGGGCCCCCAGGTGGACCTCAAGTGCGCCAAGGTGGACATGAAGGGCCCCAAGGCTGAGGTGACCACGCCCGAGATGGAGCTGTCCCTGCCCGGCGCGGAGGTGGACATCCAGGCCCCCGGTGCCAAGCTGGAAGGGGACCTGGTGCTGTCCGACAATGACACCTTGGCCGCCAAAGACAGCAGGTTCAAGATGCCCAAGTTCAAGATTCCCTCCTTCGGCGTGTCGGCGCCCGTGAAGACCACTGAGGCCTCGCTGGAGGTGACGGTGCCAAAGCCGGAGTCAGACGTGGCCCTGCCTTTCATCCAGGGCGACCTGAAGACCCCTGACGTCAGCATTCAGCTGCCCTCTGCCGACGTGGAGGTGGGTGTTAAGCTGCCAGAAGGCCAGCTGCCCGAGGGAGAGCTGCCCGTACCTGCTGCAGAGGGAGTCGGCCTGAAGGGGCACCTGCCCAAGGCACAGATGACGAGTCTCAAGATGCCCAAAGTGGACCTCAAGGGCCCCCACCCTGAGCTTTCAGAAGCTAACGTGGACTTTAATTCCCCTGAGGGTTTCAGTGTAAGTGGCTCTATGGACATTTTCCTGCACAGTCATTCACCTTTCCCTGGGGCTTCTCAATCTTTCCTTTCTGATGTGAGTTTTGTTTCGTCTCATGGTGAATCTCGTTCTGATTTGGTTCCTTCTATCCTTCCTTCTTTTCATGCTAGACTAATGTTTCCGAAATTTCATAAACCGAAGTTTATATTTCCTGTTCCTTCCTCATCAGTATGTATCCTTCATCCCCAGGGCAGTGACAATGGTGTGACCCTTTCCTCTCTTAATAGTGAACCAACATTAGACTCTGTTGATTCTGTAATATCATCCTCTGTCGCCCCACATTCTCCTGATATTGATGAGTGTTTCCCCCATTCTACAATAGCATCCCCTTCTGAAGGCTCTACCCATGCAGGAAAGAGCAGTCCCTTCAAAATGCCCCAGATCAAGATACCTCCATTTTCTCCATCTCCCAAGAAAGGGACAGAACCTGATACTGATTCTGTGTCCCACTCCGATGATCCTATTCCTAGCCTGCGTGTGTGTACCTCTGTCATGGACAGTGAGCCTGCCTCCTGTGTGTCCCCATCTGAAGTGCACCAACACACGTCTGGAGACAAGGACTCTGAGAAGGGAAGGAGTCGGAAACCAAGCTTCTCTATGCCGAGGCTTGCACTACCCAAGATAAAAACTTCTAAAGGGCAGGCTGGCTTACGACAGGGAGACATCAATGCTTCACTCCCTAGTGCCACAGCTGGCGGTGACCTGGTAGTCACACAAACAGCCATCAGCGATCACAGTGATGGCGCCACCGGTCCAAAGGATGTTACCACAGGAGAATTCATGAGCATCCAGTTACCACAGTCCTCCATTCCCTCTTCCAAACCCAGTGTCAGATCCTCTTTCATGCCAGGTGAAGAGACCCAATCAAACACTGAGGTTCCAAAGTATGACCTGGCTGTGGGAGGGGTCAGCAAGGACAGTGTGTTTGGGGGTCTCTCCTCAATCCAGTACCATGGGGAGTTGACTTCGCCCATAGCAGAAGACCCTTTGCAGCTGTCTGTTGGACAAAGAGATGATGCCCTCTCTATGGAAAGTCCAGAGGAGGGCCCCACAGCAAGAGCAAAGCCAGCAGACTCACATGAAGGCTGGTTCAGAATGCCCAAGTTCCGTTTGCCTGGCTTCAGGCGCTCCTCCTCTAAGGAACGGGATGAGGCTGGGGAAGAGGCAAATACTCAGACACACATGCCCGTTGCCAGCACGCCGTTAGAGGCAGAAGCAGCAGCATCAGCCAGTGTGCAACTGTCCCACGATTCTGGGTCAAAGGTGGAAGCACATGTCTCAGCAGTGCTCCCCGAGGATGGGGCCAGTGTGAGGTTCCCAGGGAGCCCAACATATGCAGATATTGTAAGACGTGATCTCCAAGGAACAGGCTCCAGGCAGCCCCACCCAACTGTTGGAATGTCCCAGACGTATCTGCCCACCCCCGAATTCAGGACCCTTCTAGCTGCAGACTCCCGTCCTCTTGAGATGTCTGCTGTGAGACTCTCAGAACCCCAGATTCCTCCAGATGGAACAGGCCAGCAGCCTCAGTCTGGGCCTGGAGGACACCACCTTGCTGAAGTAGAGGGCAGAGCAGGGACACAGCCTTCCCAGCCAGAAGGGCCTCTGAAGCTGAGGGTTTCCTGCACTGACATACGGTCCCAGGTTTCCATGGTGAGCACGAGACAGCTCTGGGAGGATTCTGTGCTGACTGTCACGTTCCCCAAACTAAAGGTACCCAGATTCTCCTTCCCTGCTCCCAGCTCTGAGACCGATGTGTTTTTCCCTGTAGTGAGGGAGGTGCAGTGTGTGGAGGCCAGCATTGGCAGCGCCCTGGGTAAGGATGGCCCAGGGCTCTGGGAAGCCAGCCTCCTGAAGACAGACATTGAGGACCCCAGCAGACATCCTGTGAACCTTGAGCAATCCTTGGAAGTGCCCCCAGTTTCTAAGGTCAGAGTGCACATTCAAGGGGACCAGGGTAGGAATCAGGAAGCCACCATTTGCAGCAGGGTGACACAAGAGGGTGCTGACCCTGCGGTGCCTGGGACCTTTTCCACTCAGATTGTGCGGGAATCAGAGATCCCGGTATCTACAGTTCAGACCCCTTCTTATGGGTTTTCCTTATTGAAAGTGAAAATCCCAGAACCCCTTGTGCAAGCTAGCATGTGTGCAGTGGCTCAGGACCCCCGGGCCCAGGAGGGCTTGGATGGAGCTCCCATGCCACCCTGTGTAGAAGTAGACTCTGCTCCTGGGGATGTCCAACCTGACGCTGGGGAACCATTTGAGATGATCTCTGCCAGCGCTGTCCTGCCACAGCTGCCACTCACACCTGAGGTGCCTTCTGGCCCCCAGATTGCAGACAGTACCTCTGATGAGGAGCCAGCAGAAATTCTTGAGTTTCCTGAGGACAACCAGGAGGTAAATACTCCTGACCTGACTACGAAAGACAAGCCAGAAGGTAAAAAGTCCAGCCTGTTGTGGTCGTGGCTTCCGAGTATTGGGTTCTCCTCTGTGGAAGAGCCAGGTGCTGATTCCAGAGACACTGCCCCCAAATCGGATCCCATCCACACTCAGCCTGAAGCTCGGCTGGACCCCGAGCTGCCCAGGAAACAGGAGAAGGCAGGCTGGTTCCGGTTTCCCAAGTTAGGATTCTCCTCTTCTCTTACCAAGAGGAACAGGAGTACCACAGAGGAAGGCCAGGCAGGACACAAGATCCAGGAAGAAACTGTCACCTTTTTTGATGCCCGAGAAAGCTTCTCTCCTGAGGAGGAGGAGGAGGAGGAGGAGGAGGAGGAAGGTGAGCCAGGGTCAGACTCCAGGGCGATGGTGACATCCTCCGCGAGAACAGAACTAATACTGTTGGAGCAGGACAGAAACACCAGTGACAAAACTGCACCCAGGTCTGTGGCCAAATGAAGGCCAGAGGTGAGAGTCAGCAGAAGAGACACACAAGCAGTCGGGGGCTGGCCACCATGCGAGCACTCTACTCTGCAAGGCATGATACCCGCCTCGATCCACAGAACTGAGACCAAAGCAGAGATGAGCAGCATCTCCGTGTCCCATCACACAGCCCTTGCACATGGAACAAAAATCACATAAGTTCCCGCCAAGCTTTGGAAGCAACGAAGGCTGCAAGTTTCACCCAGCAGCACGGGCTCTGGGAGTCATTGCTGGAGAACTCTGTTGGCCTTCATGGGGTAAGCCCCAAGGGGCTGCCCGACGCCAGGACAGCACCATCATCACCTCTCTGAGGTTCTGGTGGCTGTGGGAAGAAGCAGCTTTTGGTGTAACCTCTGCCCTGCTTTGCTATTTGCTAGCAAGTTCGGTTTCCCTCTTGGTCCTGATCTCTCTGCTCTGTTGACTGTCTCGCTGATGGCAACCTTTGGGATGCTGACTGGTGATGCACATGTGTGGGCAGAACTGGGGGGGGGGAGGACGGCGGCTGACCACAGCCGATGCCGACTGCAGGCAAGATGGGACACAGGTTCATCAACCTTTGGGATGCTGACTGGTGATGCACATGTGTGGGCAGAACTGGGGGGGGCGGGGAGGACGGCGGCTGACCACAGCCGATGCCGACTGCAGGCAAGATGAGCCAGCAGGGCCCGGACACAGGTTCATCGTTAGACCTTGGTTGAGTGTCCACTTGTCCACTTACCTCCCAGTGTGCAGCTGTTTCTCCTGTACGCACAGCTCCATGCTGTGGTCCCTGAACACCTGTGTCCAGACCACAGCCCCTCCAAATGGACCTGCTCAGTCGCCCCCTAGTGGGTAATAAAGGAAGCGATACACCCAATAGTCCAGGCTGTCTTTTGTTCAGAGGGTCACCACATCCATCAGTACCCTCCCTTTCTTCCCACATACTCCAGTGCCCTCTCTACTATGTATCTCTAGAAACCAAAGCCCAGTTACATCTTAGAGAGGCTGTCACTTCTTATGTATTTGTCCAGATTCACAGCTAGAGAACTCAAGGAGTAACGGGGAGAAGTTGGGGCCTTGAGTTCACGGTGGGCAGGGAACACCTCCTTCCTACCGCCTGGACAGCAGTGCTAGGATGCAGCACGACGTGCAGCAGGGTCAGCAGAGCAGCTGTTGGCCTAGAGGCTTAGCTGGCGCCTTGACCCGTCCTCAGAAGTTGCTTTCATATGGAAAACCTTCCACCAGTCCACAGGAAGTGAATCCACATTTAGAGCAAGGCCAAGGTTTTCTGCCCCCTCCCTATGGCTGCTGCTGCTCTCCTAGGTCCGTGTGTGTTCAGTGTTCCCAGGGAACCACTGGAACTTGGAGCAAGCTCTCTTTTGACCCACTGGCAACAACTGCTCCTTATCTCCCCAGAAGATGGCTTGTGGCTGGACTGTGAACCACCCTGGAGAACTGGGGGGAGGTGTCTAACATTCCCAAGGCTTCCCTAGGAGGGCCTGCCTACAGTGTCCAGGGAAAATGGCTGGGCTCTTCATGTCACCATGAGCAGTCACAGCTGGCTGGGAGGGTTGAGGAGACATGGAAGATTCTGGAAAGGGAGTCAGTGGACTTCTGCCCCATGGCCAAGAAGAGCTGTAATAGTCCTTGCTCAGGATGCCCAGCCTCCTCTCCCATAACTGGCAACTGCCAGCCAGACTTGGAGTGTGAGCCCAATGGCACTGTAGAGGGAGTCTGCCTGCTCCGTGTGCTTCCCTCTACCCTGCAGCTAGTATCTGTGCGTGGGAAGTTGGTGCTGGAGGCCAGACACCACACAGGGATGGTCAGCAGCAGAGGTCTCCCAGGAGCTCTGAGGCCTTATGCCCCATATGTGAGTTATCGGTACAGCGTACGCATCATGGCAGATTAGTGCCTTAAAATAGCACACATTTTTGATTTCCCAGCTTCTGAGAGTCAGGAGTCTCTACTGGCCTAGCTGCGTCCTCTGCCGAGGGCCCCACAGGACAGCTATCAGATGTGAGCAGGACCTGGGACCCATCTCCAGGTGGAAAGGAACCACAGAAGCTTGCATGGTTTGCTGAGAGCGTTCAGTTCCCTGAGGGCTGGGTGGGCACAGCAGGCCTCTACTTCTTGCCGGCTGGAGGCCACTGGCTATTCTGCCACATGGACCTCCCCAGACAGTTCACAGCCTCGGCTCCCTTCATCAAAGCCAGCTAGGGACAACCTCCCATCCAGATGATGGTGTACTCTCAAGTCACTTAACTAAAGTGACATCCCCTTATCTTGTGTGTTTTTTAGAGACAACAAGGCACTGGCCTTGCCCACAGTCAGGGCAGGAGTGTACAGGGGTGTCTGAGTATCAGGAGTCAGATACCATGGGACCAATTTAGAGTTCCTGTCACATCCTAGAAGGGCCCTATCATGATACCACATCCCCAGAATGTCCCAAGCCTGTGAAGCTGGGTCTCCTTTGGAGTAGACCATGGAGTCTGACGTTGACCTCAGTGGGTGGAACAGACCCTCCTAGGCTGAACCAGCTGAGCAGTCTGGAAGAGAGGTCTCTCCTGGCATGTGGTTTTCAGACCTAGACTTCAGGGCTCAGAGAGCAAACCCATATCTGCACCCCTGGAGGGTGGACCTGGGACAGGGACAGAATCTGCTCCTGAGTGAGATGCTGTCTTGCATCTGTCTAGCCAGCAGGAAGACCTGGAGCATGGACAGAGGATGGGATGCTGTAAGGAGCAGCCACAGCCACGGCAGAGCTTGGTCTGGCCAGTTCCCAGCAACTTCCAGGTCCTGTAGGGCCACTTGGATCCTGGGCCTCACATGTGCAGCAGGGAAGCAGGGTGTGTTTAGCGGACCTTCTGCACAGATACCTAAGGTGTCCTTTACATGGGCAGGTGCAAGGGCATTGATGAAATGGCAAGAGCTGACCTGCGCCCAGTAAAAGCCATGTTGGCTCTCCCTCAGCTCAGAGAATAATGAAAGGCGGGGGAGGGGTGTTCCAGGCATGGGACTCTGGGCATCTGCTCAGTGTCCAGTGTCCTCACCACTGAACCACAGCTGAGCTCCAGCAGTGTGACCCCTGGGCCCACAACAGAGTGGTGGGCCTGAGTCTTGTTCAGAACTGCATGAGAGGCGAGCTAGACTTCCAACCCTGCATCACAGCCCGGCGTCAAAGTCGGGACTGCTTCATATCCTGCCCCTGCACACAGGACAGAATGAATTATCACCAGACTGCATTTTCAATTTTCCCATTCAAGTTTGTCCCTCAACTCTAATCTTGGTCCTCAGGATCCCATCCGCTAGCCTGGGTAGGTTCCTGCACTAGCCCTGCTCCCATGGTACTGGTCTGACCCCAGAATGGTCCAGCCTCCACGGCCCTGCCCCACCCCTATAGCCCTATGGCCCTGCCCCTCCCCACACCAGCCCTGCCTTTTCACAACTGAGCCACAATTTCAGCTCCTGATGAGGATGGATAGCAGGTGGGCTCCTCCTCAGTTGCTCATGTTGCCACGTCCACCCCATCCTGTCCCAATACTGAGGATCAGGCTTGGGCAATACTTCCCTCTGTGAATACAGGGCTTAGCTGGAATGACCACATTCATGGACCCTTTGGGGTCCCTGGAGCTAAGCAGAGTGCCGCATGTGCTAGTCACCACCGTGGTTGTGGGGCAGCTTTGCTGTTTGGGGGTATCCCAAGAGATATTCTGATGGCTCCCTGGAGGAGGTGGGCCTAGGGTGCACAGTTTGTGCCCACTGTGAGGGCTGAGTGGTCCTGACCCTGAAGGCCCTTGCAGGCAGAGCCCTTCCCTGGGCAGGAGAGGTCTGTGAGTGCAATGATGACAAAGCACTTCGGCATGCTTTCGGAGGTTATCAGGCACTCAGAGCCCACACAGTGAGAAAATGACACATAGAGACTGAGATCACTCAGTAGGTAAAGTTCCTGCTGCGCAAACATGAGGACCTGAGTTCAGATCCCTAGCACCGTGTCAAAAAAATCCAAGTGTGGAGGCATGACCTCTAACCCCAATGCTGGGGAGGTGGGAACGGGGATCCTGGGGCTTGCTGCATAGCTAGTCTAGCCAAATCAGAGTGCTCCAGAGTCAGTGAGAGACCCTTCTCAAAACTAAGGTGATACCAGGTGTGGTGGCACACAGCTTTAATACAGCACTTGGGAGGCAGACACAGGTGGAGCTCTGTGAGATTGAGGCCATCCTGGTAAACATAATGAGTTCCAGGCCAGTTGAGCAGTTGGGCATATAGGGAGACCCAGTCTCAAAAGAAAAGAAAAAAGAAAAAAAGAAAAGAAAAGAAAAGGTATGTCCGTTTTGGCCTCCACATGTGCACAAGCATATGCACACATATGAATATGTACACACACACCACACAGAAGAAAGGAAGAAAAGGAGGGAGGGA